AGTCTTTTATAGTGGATCCACCGGACTCCACTGTAGTATCGACCAATTTCTGAAGTTTTGGCGGAAAGGTATTTGCATGCCAGTCAACGTCTGGCAGATTAAAATCACCTACGATTATTCTGACATCAAACTGTCTCTGCAACTTTTTCAAACATTTCACACAGCTGACTTTACTTGCCTGAGTTACATGGGGGAGTATAGACACAGCCAATAACCGTTTTTTTATTGTGTGGGAGGCCGATTGAAATAAAGCAAATAATTCCAGAAAAGGACGAAATGTTCAGGTGAAACGGGTAATGTACAAAAGAGGATTCAATATATAAAGAAGGCAGTCACAGCCACGCTTTTCAATGCGGTCTTGTCGGTACAAACTAAAATTATCTATTGCGAGTGTCGAGTCAGAAATCAGAGAGTGAACCCAAGATTCGGTGGCACAGAGCACATCTGGATCAAGCTCAAACGCTGCTACTTTAAGCTCTGTCATCTTATTAACAATTGATCTGGCATTGAGTGAGACTATACTGAGCGTATCCTTGAGATGCAGGTTACGCTTGTCCGTATTTATAAAAAAGGAAAACTTGATGGCGGAAAGGGAGACTGCCTTTCAAAGGGGTTTGCCTATATTTCCCTCAATAAACTTGACTTGACTAGACCCGGCCTGGTACTTGTTATGCACACGAACCGTATGATTGCCCGAGTAAGCGCACGTTCATGGCATGCAGCGAGGGAGATTTGCGCTTTTGAGCTTCTATAAGATTGACATGGATTATATAAGAATTCTCACCAACAGCGTTTTGTGTAAGCCCTAACGAAAGATGGTGGGTTGGCGGGCCTTTAAATGTGGGAACGGTGGCATTAAGAGTTTTATGGTTAGGCACACTTGTCGAATTACGAATTAGAAAATGGATAACCCAAGAAATATAATTTGTTGGAAGGAGTTTGTTGGGAAACGCTAGCAAACTTTATTGTAAATCTTAGACTCTGGCGCACCAAGTCGTCGTCGGACGTGTGGAAATTGTGTACAAAATAGTGAGTATTTTAAACATACCAAAAAATCGATAATGTTTCGTCATCGTTGGTCAATAGGAGGGCCTGTTGGTAGACGCCTTTTCCAGGCTTCCTTGAGGTTGGTATACATCGCATCTAATTCAACGTGCCTATTAATGCACGAGTCGTCAGAGCTAATGGGCTCTAAAAATCGCGGCCTTTCCTATCTGGGCAGGGGCCTACAATATGGGTTTGGTCCCGTTTCAGGTGTATGCATGGCGACTTGGGACAGGTGATCTTGTCTCTTTACTGCAAATTGATGTACGTGCAAGCCTGTGAAGCCTGCCTTTCCCGTTTTTCTACAATAAAATGCATTTCTGTCACCACAAGAAATTTTTAAACGACCCCTTTTCTGCCCAAATAGCCAATCCCATCCTTAGTGTGTACAAGCTGATTTCGTAGTGTGGTCATTGGTTTGTGCGATACCAGGATCTGGTGCTTCCTCAGGTGTCTTTCAACGAGTTCAGACACGTTTTTATTATACGGATGTGTTCGCCGACTTCTTTGGTTGGGCACCTGATTGGAAAAATCCAGTTCCTTTCCTTTTTGTTTTAACTCCTGCCGTCTTATGCATCGACGTACAAACTCCCTAGGGTAAACATTTTTGAGAATGGTTTGAAAAGGGACTTAAGTACGTGTTGGTAAAGTTCGGTGCTAGAAATGTGCGTTTTTGCTCGATTGATTAGTGTTAACAGCACTCCGCTTATTGGCAACTGGGTGGTTTATCGCTTAATGTAGGATAACCACTGGATAGGCCTTTTTGCGATAAACTGATGTTTGAAATATTCCGTCAGTATTTTTTCTGGATGAGGACGCCAAGAAATCGGAGTTTACTGTCAACTTATTTTTCGAGCGTAAATGTGATTCCTGACATCACTGAATTAATAACCTTGTTTCATTCAGCACAGCTGGAGCCAAACCTGCTAAGATGATTCCAGCGGTGGAGTCGGTCATCGATCGGGCAGATGCGATGGAGGCGACGAATAATAATCTAAGACACTCGGTGTCGGTGGCTCAGAGGCAACACAACATGCTCCCCAACCTGGAACGCAATGCGCAAAGGGAATTCAAGGCCCACAAAAACACCGTCCTTGTGTCCGCCGACAAGGGATGTTTCATCGTCCTATGGAACAGAACAGATTACCTTCAAGGGGCTGTAGTAACCCCACTCCAACTGCACGTGCACTCGCGGTTGATAGCAGGTGCGCAAGCACCAATGACTACCCACCGCGGGCTGACCAATCGCTTTCAAGGCCGATACGAACACGCTCATACACTTTGGACACCACCCCTCCTCTCGCGGGTGGTTATACACTCGTTGGCAGAATTGGTTTTAGAGGCCCCGAAAATCCCGTCGGGTTATAATGAAAAAAAACTACTTTTAAATGTTCGGCAGCCTGACTTGAACTTTCTTCTTTAAATTCCACCAAAAGGAGAACGAATTTTGATTTTCGTTAAATTCC